ATGAGTCAGAAATGTCATGATGGAAAAGTTTCTACCCCACTTCTCAATTCCAACCTATGGCGCTCTGAGCCTCCCTTTCCACATTTGCCTACTTTGTGCAATGCAGTCAGAGGGGCTGTCTGGGAAAGTGCTAACGCAGGCCACCAGTGTTTGCATTTTCTTCCTGCTCTCAGTCTTTCAGCATCAAGTTGCAGTCGATCACCTCGAGGTGGCCAGAGGAGCAGGAAGTGTGCCCAGCGCCTGGAGAACCTGCCCCCTGCTGACCACCAGTGAGCGAGCACTGCAGTGCACCCTGGTCCACGATTCTAGGAAGATGGGCCACATTCATGTGGTCACAGTTGTTTACTTGATGTGGAGCTCACTAATGAAAGCAGAATTTTGCCAAATACTTCTGTCAGACAGCAGCGCTCATGAGCCAATGCACTGACCTACTGTCACCGCCTGCCTCTTACCACCCTCCATCGGCACCCACTGGCTCCACAGCTTCGGTTCTTGGTTCACAAAAACATCCTTAGTGATGTTTCTGGAGTTCCTATGCAGTGGTAGGCACACACAGAGAGCATGTCTACTCGCGAGCTCTGTTATTGGCTGTAATCCAATGCACACGGGCTTATCCAAGTCTAAACCGCCCAGCCTGGCTCCTGGGTGAGCACCATGTGGCTAAAATTAGCCTGGCCATCTGCTGAGACAGCATTGGGCTGTCCTGAACCCCAGCAAGCCTGTGGGGAGGGGGCTGGGCTGGGGTATGGCAGAGAGGCTGGAGGCTCCCAGGTCAGGAGGACGAGGGGGACAGGAGGGTGGAGCCACACTCCAGGAGCCCAGGTTCATGGTATGGTCTCATAGGAGCCACACACAGCTTTACCTGCAGCTTCTTGTTTGCATTCAGACTCCAGTAGAACTGTTCTGGGGATTTCAGTGATAATGGCCAGGATCTATTCTATCAGGAGTGCTTATAGCGGTCAGAAACTGGGTTTTGTAGGGCTCTCATGTGAATTCCTAAGACAACTCTGGTCAGTACCAACTTCAGGGATTCGGAACAGTTTAACTGTTTCCTCCCTCTCATGTAGTCAGAAGCACTATTCAGGGGGAACCCTAGTTCAGATGATCCAGAGCACAGGGCTCTCTTCTGGAGACCCCAACTCCTACTTCCCTTTGTCTCTGGAGAGGCCCTGCACCCCTCAGAGTTAAGAATCCACTGTTCCAAGCAGAGAGGAAATCTGGAAGGATAAATGTAACCCAGACATTTATTATACTCTGTGACCAATAACCCCTGGTCATTTATTGTACTCTGTAACCAATATTTTAATTTGTATTTATGGATTAGTCTTAACCCATTGTCAGAGATCCTAGACTTGGGCCAGGGTGTTCTCTGGCTTAAAACTGCACTGTGAGGGGCCGGGTATATTCTCAGTGGCAGACTCCTGTCCCTGTCGCCCATTAAAAAAACCAAAAACTGCACTGTGAGTTGGGGATGTAGCTCAGTAGGAGTATGTTTATAGGCTCCAGGTTCCTTCCTTAGCATGAGGAAAAAACAATAAGCAATCAAAGCTAATGAAACAAGAAATTACACTTCAAGTTTATCAAGTAGAGCAGGGTGTGGTAGAACATACCTGTAATCCCAGCACTTAGGAGGATAAGGCAGATTGCCATGAGTTCAAGGCCAGACTGAACTACTTAGTGAGAACTTGTCTACAAAAACCCAAACCAAGAAAGTGTTAAGTTTATAAAATGTATTTATTTCCTGTTCTTGAATGAAGCACCAGCAACAAAAACCTAAAATAATGAAAATATTCACAACATTTTGACTCTAAAGCAATATAATTCTAATTTAACCCTCCATCACGAAGTTCCCTGGATTTGCTAAAGGAATGGCCCTTCTGATGGCTCCCTAACTGGCAGCTCCGGCCCTCCTGTAATTGGCCACACAACTAGAGTCAGGACTTTTTTCTAAAACCCTTTCCATAATTCTTCCTGCCCTCTGCCAGGACCTGAGTTGACAGAGGTGACCCAAACCAACCTTCACACTAAGGGCGAGTCCTTAGTGGTCCCTCACTTTTGAGGCCTCTCTTGAGAATTCCCTGGGGCCCTCACTGTCCTGTTTGCAGCACATTTTCCCCTGGTAATCCTGTCTCTGGCATTTGCATATTGGCTCACGGTATAAGGAGCCTCTAACTGCCAGGGGACAACCTTATCTTCCAATTCAGTGGAACCATTATCGTTTCTTTAGGAAGCATTTCTCCCCTGGATATTAAGACCTCCAAACAAAATCTATGTTGGATTTTGTTTTGTTTTTTGAGTCTCACTAGGCAGTTCAGGCTGGCCTTAAGCTTACTACGTAACCCAGGCTGGCCTTGAACTCACGTGATCCTCCTGCCTCAGCTTCCCTAGTACTGTGATTATGTGTGCCACCACATCATATGGAATCCCTGCCAATGTGTATTTAATTAATCAGGTGTTACAAGCAAGTGTGAATCTCTGATTTACAGCATCTACTGCATCCTGTAAGACCAAACCCCATCCCTTCAGAGTGCCTGTCTATGACTGGTGCTGTGATAAACACCCACATCTAGTCATTAGGCCACTTCAGGTAATGGGGTAGCGGCCCAACTGGCCAACTCATAGCCTCAGCCTATGCTGTGCTCTCTTCTGCAGGGAAGCAAAGCCATGGAGGAGGTCCCAGTAGTGGACAAGCACCAGAAACACAGGACAGACACGCGGTGTCCACTGGGCCAGCCTGTGTGGGGCAGGGTAGTACCATTTATACTCAAGGGACAACTGACCAAAGGAAAATGTTCAAGGTTGTATCTTTGGGCTTTCACGTTTCCCCAAATGTACCTTGTAACCTAGGCCACCTCTCTAGTAATGAGAAACACTGTCATTACCCTCAATCAAATGGGCAAATGCCACATATGCCCAAGAGAAACTGCCACCTCAGGTGCCACGTGGGGCTGAGGACAGCAGGTGCTGCTCAGGCTGCCAGAGCTCACACAACAGGAACGCTGACTGGGACGTGGTGAACTGTCCTATTGGGCCAAGTAATGCACAACACCAAGCCTGAAAAGTGATTCCGATCTTCTGGGAGTGGAGAAATAGGTTTGGGAAAAAAGAAACGCTGTCACCTATGGAAATGCAAAATCCCCAGCCACCTTGCTGCTTCAGAGCAGTGTGAAACAGGTGCGCGCGCGCACGTGTGCTGGTGAGCGAACCTAGAGCCACGTGCTAGGCAGGGGATCTAAGAACTCCTCAGTCCCAGTCAAAACATCCTTTCTGCACAGACCCCAAGAGACAGCAGATGCAGGAAAGGCTGACACACACTGTCCAGACGTTCAGCTTGAAGCTAACACCAAGTGCACACCACACACACCAGAGGCGAGGCCAGGCCACACTGGACTTAATCTGGCCTGAACTTACTCCTGAACCACAGCAGGGATGTTGAAGGATCTATTTTTCAACTCCCCAAGACGGCAACACCTAAAGTAAGATGAGAACCACAGTGGAACCTGTGGGCTGAGCCGCGAGTGGGTGTGCAGGGTCTCAGGACCTCCGTAAACAGGCACACACCACTGCTAACACCCGAGGGTGGGGCAAGCAGCTGCTTATGGGCAGGTAACACCTCTGCTCCTGCACAGCTCGACAGCCTGGGCAGGGTTGGCTTTGAACTTAAAAAATACTTTGTTTGGGGGCTGGGGATTTAGCTTAGCGGCAAAGCGTCTGCCCGGCAAGCGCAAAGTCATGAGCTCCATTTCAAAAAAAAAAAAGAAAAAGAAAAAAGAAAAACTTTGTTTGCCAGGTGTGGTGGCACACACCTGTGATCCCAGCCCTGGGGAGGCTGAGGCAGGAGGATCGTTGGTGTTTGAGGCCAGCCTGAGCTACAAAGTGAGCTCAAGGTCAGCCTGAACTGCATAGTGAGACCCTGTCTCAAAAAAAGGGTAGGGGGGCTGGAGATTTAGCTCAGCGTCACAGCGCCTGCCTGGCAAGTGCAAGGTTGTGAGTTCGATTCCTGGTACAGGGGGAAAAAAAAAAAAAAACCCAAAAAAACAAAACCAAAAAAAGAGTAAAACCTGTCTTGCCTCTAAACCAACTTTCCTTGCTTTGCTCTACCAGAAATCTAACACCCTAACTGCAGTTTGCTAGATACAGGCACAAACACGGTCACCGCAGGACAGAGCTACAGTTCACACATGACCCCTATAGTAGCTCAATGTCACTTTCCTTTTTTTTTTTTTTTCCCCCTCCGGTACTGGGAACCGAACTCATGACCTTGCGCTTGCCAGGCAGGCGCTTTTGCCACTGAGCTAAATCCCCAGCCTCTCCTGTCTTTTTTTGAGACAGGGTCTCCCTGTATAGTTCAGGTTGGTCTCAAACTCACAACGTAGCCCAGGCTGACCTCAAACACATGGTGCTCCTCCTGCCTCAGCATACAGACTGCCAAGATTACAGGAGTGAGCCATCATGCCCTACTCTTCTGTCCTTTGTTTCTCTCACCAAAAAACAAAATAAAAAACCCCTGAACACCTGCAGTGTAACTTCCAGGTTTGAGATAGCAGCTTCCTGTTTCCTTTTCCTCTGGGGAAGGTTTATAGAATCTGAACCCTGCTGTGTAGCCCCTTCAGGGTAGGTGCTTTGCTGTTCACAGCCATCTCTGCCTGTGACTCTGCCCACGTTCCCACTCACTCCTATGAAGGGTCCCTAGGGTTGTAAGGCCCAGCCATATAGATGTAAACGTTCAGAGGACTCAGATGTAAACGTTCAGAGTCAGCCCAAGTCCCCAGCAGTTCTAGGAGTGATATGGCTTATGTGCTCCTCCTCTTTCACGCTACCTGCTGAGCGCCTCCTGTCCCTGGGCTGTGGTTTCTCCTACTCAAGTGGGCCTTCGTGTCTGCTGTCTGACGCTCCTGGGTTTCAGAGTCGGGCGGAGACAGCCGTCGGTGGTCTCTGTGGACCTTGCCCTTCAGGGACTAACCACATCTGCAGTGAGAATGAGACCAGACACAAGCACGAGCAGCACAGAAGGATTTGTATTTAATGGAGAACGACCATCGGCCCTTGGGTAGCTACATTGGTGATTACAGATGATTTTAATCTAGAAGACAAAAATCACTCATAGGTGAATCAAGAATTCCAAGTGCAACTTTTAACTGACTGTATCACACATTCAGAGAGCTTCTACGCTCTATTTCTAGAAAAGAGAGAAAGCTCTCATTTTCTAAGAGAAATTAATATTCTTCCTTTTGGTCTCCCCATTATCTATCACTGAAAGGCAAAATAACACAAAATCCCAAAACTAAAAAGAGGACAATAAGTACAAGATGAAGAAAATCTAAATAGTATGAAATTAGTTTTTATTTTCAGCTCAAAATAAATGCTTAACATTTTGCCAATATCAAAACTAAAAACGAACACTTAGAAAAGAGTGGAAGCACATTTCCTTCTCTGGGGAAGCCAGTAAGGCAGAGGCTGTAACGTGGCCCAGCTTCTCCACAGGACTAGTCTAGGTGAACAAAGTGAACAGAAACCTTAAAACCTTTCCCAGTGTTTCCTTGGTTGTCAGCTGCGTCTACCAGGACCGTGCCTGGCGGAGTAGCCCCCCATCCCCGTCAGCTACAGCACAAAACCAAGGATTTGCAAAGTTGGGAGGAACCTTTTAACCTGTTCATATAAAATCCTCTCTGTGGAGACTGAGTAAAGGTAACAGCCATCAGCAACCAGCTGAGGTCTGCGAGGCTGCCCACATGAGGACGTCAGGAGCCCTGGAGCTGGTGTCCCTGCACGAGCCTCGGCAACACCTCTGAGTTCACCACAGGGATGTCTTGAAGTTGAACTTCAGTTTCAGCAGATACTTCAGGTTCACCTGAGCGATGTCGTAGACAATGTACCTGGAGGGGAAGTGCGTTAAGGAGACAACAGCTTGGAGTCCCGTCCCTCCTTCTCCGGGGATGGCAGGGGCTCGGGATGACCAGCTGTCCTTCAGGCACACGAAGGACCCACGGTCCTCTGGAAATGGGGCAAGACTTCCACCCTGCAAACATGGGGAATCAGATACCGTGAGACCCACTACAGGACAGTCCTGAGGAATCCGGAGGTGACCTGTGCACAAGTATGCAATGATATGGCTTCCGGATATTCTTCACGCTCACACTCAGCACGCCATGAAAGGATACTCGTTGTACAGCAGGCAGGTGTCATTAACACCTGATGAGATCCCTGTGCCGAGGGGAACCTCGACTCCCTGCAGAGTAATACTAGCCGAGGAGTCAGGGGTTGTTTTTCCCAAACCTGCAAAACAGAAGGTCAAGTGCTAGGGACTATGAGAATGGGTGTGAACCTGTCATAGGGATATGAGGTGCAAATCATGCCTGGTGCATGTTTTTGTTTTAAATACACAAATCCCACATTCTCTCCAGCTATGAAACTGGAGGCTGGAAGGCGGGTGTGGTGGCCCACGCCTGTAATACCAGCACTCAGGAGGCTAAGGCAGGAAGGTCGCTGTGAAATGGAAGTCAGTCTGGGCTACATACATAGTGAGTTCAAGGCCAGCCTGAACTGCATAGCAAGACCCTGTCTCAAAAACCAAAACAGGCTGGAGGATTCAAATCCAGGTTCTCAGGTATCAATATGAAACATTTTTTGTGGAGAAGAGTAACATCAGTCCCCTCTGGGGTTACACAGCTGCTCTACCAAATTCCACAGCAGACACCTCCCCAGGCAGCTTGGTGCCCTGAACACCTGCCACCAACTACAGCATCCCAGGGGCTGCAGGTGCCACTGCCCCCAGAGGACTTTTCCTGTAGGACTGACAGAATTAGGTTAAAACGCCAAGCTGGCAAATACCCGAGCTACTGGTGCTTGCATATGGCATCTGTGATACTGGCTACAGTCAAGCATGAAACTGTGTTCAGTTAAATGAACAACCAGCCCTAAGCCCCAGCCTTCTGGAAAGCAAACCCCCTCTCCCTGTTCTCCTGGGGTCCTGGCTGCAGCAGCAGCAGCACACAGGGGACATCACCTTTGACGCTGTGCTTGCCCTTGGGTAACTTGCTGATATGAGAAGCATGCTTCAGTTCGTACCTGTTTGGGAGAGAACAGTCTCAGAGCCCCTAGACTAGCACACTGCTTAGCATCAGCAAGTCTGATGACCTAGAACACCCAAGAACCCTGCCTACTGTCATTGCCGGTGCTCAGCCCGTCCCACTCTGGCCCCATGCCAGGAAAGGTCCTGTTTGGAGTTGCGGCTGGCTACTCTGGAGGTTTCTGTCACTGACCTTTGGCCTAAAATGTGACCTTGCTCCCTGGGAAACAGCTGATAGGATCAGAGGAGATGCCTGAAGCAAGCTGACTCATCAGATTTTCTTTGTGGGGAATGTGGGACTGAAATTAAGAGCCCAGCCCCATCTAGTTTGGTTTCAGAAGGTCTAAATGTTGGTGAGAGGTGGGGTGAGTTGTGGGGCGGCCATCTTTGGTGCAATTCAACCTCTCTGCTCCCCGTCCAAGGCCTGGCTGCCCTCCCACCCATGTGTGCTACTCACAGGTGGTCTGAACTGTCGGGTCAGTAACTGGTGGGGCCTCTCCTCCCTCCCGTCAAGTCCCCCCTCCCCACCCCCGCCAAAGCAGGCTACTCACATGTTTCCAAGGGCTACCTCTCCCAACAGGATTAAGCCTATTGGGTCTCCCTGAGATGTGTGGCAGTAATTGGCGCTCTTGGAGACCATGTCAGCGAAATAGATGCCTTTCCCAAACATGTAGCCTGTCTGCAGAGTTAGAAAAGGCACAGATGAAATCCTCCCTACGCAAAGGTAGGCCATTTACTCAGACGGCAGACTTGAGCCAGTGCACAGCAAGCACTGCCGATGCCCGAAGCCCAGAGGCTGTGAAGAAGTTCCTGGACCATGCTTGCTTTCTCTCAGCTGGGAAAGTAACCTCACTGAGAGTCACAAAATAATTCACACTGCTCAGACTTGCAGCAGATATACAGGTACACCCAAGACTGCCAGCTGTCATTTCCAGCTCCTGCAGTAAATGAGACAGGAGGTTCAGAGAGCTTGGGTCATCTGCTCAGTCACGGCCCACTACCGGGACCAGTGAGCCACCACACCGTCTCCCGGCTGACTGAGGTGTGCACAGTCCGCTGGCCAGGCAGGGGCAGAGGCAGCACAGGATTCAGCCTGGCCAGCGCCCAGGTTCGTTTCCTGTATGTCAACCCACTCAGCATTCCCAGCAGCCCTGGCCTGCACACTTCTGTTCCAAAAGGACACTGAGGCCTGTGCAGCTGTACCTTAGACAGGGCGGGGCTGGAGGACGAGGGGAAGGTGGGCCAGAGAAAGAGGTGTGATAAGCTGCACCTGAGCAGCTGCTGATTCCCTCCGCCCAGGTACCTACCACAGGCGCTTCAGGTGGGGCTATCCGCAGGCCCTGGGACAGGATCCCGGCAAAGTTGGTGGTCCTAGACCCGTGCCACAGCAACTTGCGGTTGTGGAGCTGCCTGAAGGGCTTGTAGCGTTGGCTCTCCCCTTCCCGAGCGATCTTAAAGATCTGGCAGGGCAGTCAACAAAGGACACACAAAGGCAGCTGTTACTCTGGTTCCCTGAGAGAGCGCACCGGACTGGGAGTGCTGACCTTCTGTCTCTACACCAGGAAGTACAGGTCTGCTGCAGCAGGGAAGCTACTTCCCCCGGCATCAGCATAACCCGACCTAGAGAGAGGCCCTTCCCCACAGGAGCCATCCCTGAGTCAGCAGAGCATACCTGCTGATTCTTTATAGGACTTGGAAGGCAGATTTATTACATTGATGGGCACCAATTGGGAAAGCACACCTGATTTTAGAACCAAGTCTGGATACTGCAAATGCCCTTTAAGAATAAAGGGCTACCCCCAACCACAAGACTATTATTAATTTTCCTGCCCAACAGACAAGTGAGTCACTTGCTCTGCTTATTTAAAGCAAAGCAGACTGCTCTTGTCTGACAAGGCCCAGGCTGGGGTGAGGGGAAGAGAAAAGGAGTCAGTTCTTACATCGACCACCTCCAAGTCGTATGCATTGTGTGTAGTTGCATGTGTGTTCTTCACATACTTCCTGATGATCTCAGCTTCCTCGGAATCTCTGTCAACCACCTAGAAAACAGGTGTCTTGGAACTAGAGCAAGAAGGTCCCTGAGAGAGTCCCATGTAGGCAGAACAGCAATCCACAAGCTGAGCAGATGCCAGGACCAACTTACACTCCTCACCGGAAGCCATGTTCTAGCCGCTCGCCTGCCAGGCCGAGCCCTGGTTCTATCTCCCTGGGCAGCTCTCTTTTTGCCTACTTCAACTGCTAAGGGTCTCAGGCGTCTTCTAAAATCCTATGCTCTTCAGTATCAGTAAAGCTACAATATGGAGCTCAGTGACTGGGGAGAGTCCAGAACAAGGAACTGACTCCTGGGGCAGCAGTCCAGCATGTGCCAGACACAAGCCAAGGGGCTGGAAGCCACCATGTAATTAGAAATGGAGGGACCCTGACCAACTACTGAGATTTGAGGAGAGGAACAAATGCTCAGTCTCAGTTAGGGCCACGTGTTACCCCAACTCAGAGCACAGGCCTAATAGTGCAACGTTAATGTAATTCACACTAAATACGCCAGCACAAACTGTGCAGAAGGCTATACATGTTATGTTTTCATGTTCTTATTACTAAGTTTGGAAAATCTAGGAATTCTGGTCTTCCTCACCACTAAAAGCTTCAAAACCAAATGGAGAGTGAGAGGAAAAGCATGGTCTTCCCATCAGGAAGGTACCTCTGGGCAGATGGGGAGATGCTGGAATTGAATGCCGCTGAGCCCCAGTCTGCAGCCTGTGCTGGGTCTTACTCCAGCAGCAGAGGCTCTGGCTTAATACTTCCGGGTGGGAAGCAGAGGCCAGTGAAAACGAGGCACAAATCTCCTCTGGATGGCCCAGGCAGGCTGACACTCAAGTTCAAGGACGCCTGTGTGCGCACACACAGGACAGGATACATCACGAACACCCAGTATCCGTTACAGCCAGTGCTGGGCATTTCCATTTCTGAGATGGGACCCTAGAAAACAACCTGAGTGTCTACACCCCTGGTCTTGAAGTCAGAGCTCCTTTCCAGGCTAAGGGGAGAAAGAGGAACTTCCGGCGAGATCTTCCAAACCAGCCTCCACATCGAGCTGAGCACTCACTGGAAAACTTGCCTGGCAGACAAGGCTGGGGTCTCCAGGGACCACCGAGCGAGGCTGAGAAAGGCAACTTAATGGGCCCAACAATCTCTCCCTGGTGTCCTGACACCCATTCATATTGGGGACCCCTGCTCTTGGGGTCAGCAGCTAAGGCCCTGGGAAAGGGCTGCCTTCTTACCTTAATGTCAGTTTTGAGCTTCTCATAGTTGACATCAATGGGGTCCTTGCTGCTATCATCAGACCCACCTCTCAGCAGACTATAGGCCACCTCGATGTCCAGGAGGTTGTCTAGCATTTCCACCTTGGCCTGGGGAGTCAAGTACCGAAAGTGAGGGAGACAGGTGTGCTTTTGGCACAGATCGCCTGTGTGTGACAGTGTCCTTCCTGCACAATGAGGACATTCACAGCATTCCCTGGGGTGCTAATGAGGCCTCTCTGACTGGGGGTGGCAAGAATGTCCTATCTTGACACCTCATGCCAGTGAGGACTGACACTGAGGATGCCATGAGACATGCCTCAGCCAGAATTCCCGTGGGTCCCCTGTGAGGTGCAGAATGGATCTCTCTGTCCACTGGCTCTTCTCGCCAGAGTAAGGACAGGAAAAACAATCAGTCCTCTGGGATGTTGTCTCCACCAATGGGGAAAAACCTCATTTCCAAACCAGGGCACTGGGGTGCTCCTGCCTCAGGGACCGCGAGGGTGAGGGGCAGTGACAAGGAGGGGAACCCAGCCCTCACCTCAGGGCAGCCCCAGACCTGGGCGCTACCTGCACACTGTCTGCGTTGTTCAGCAGTGGGGGCTTTTTCATCCCGAAATCATGGGGGATCAGGGTGTAGAAGCGATTTGAGAGATCCAGGATCTGGGAGTCGCTGCTGTCTTGGGATAGTGCCTGGAGGGGAAGGGACAGAAGGAACGTGAGGCTGAGGCAGGAGTGCCCGGCACTTTACCATGCTTTCCTCCCTAGAGGGTGCACTGCAGCTAGAGGCCAGGTACAAGGCGCTCCAGACAGAAGCCTGCACCCCACTGTGTGATGGCGCTGAGCAGGGTGGGACGGAACCCTGACCTTCTCGAAGCCCAGCACACAGAAGGTTTCTCACCAGTGGCTGCCTGGCACAGTGAGCAACGCAGAATGTTGGCTACAAAGCCCTGGTGAGGGCTCGTGGCTGCTGGAAAATGCCTTTCATCATTTCCGACGTCTGAACATTTCTCATATTGCGATGGTGGTTACCACTGCTATGAAATTCAGTCAGGCCCCCTTTCACCCACTGACTCCACTTCTGAGGTGAGGAATTCATTTGTGCACGTGCAGGTCCTGGTGGCCGGAAACAGAAGCCATGTAGCCCTAACCCTACGTCTCCCGGCGCCCACACGTGGAGGGCAGCCCTGGTGACAGTTTTGCTGACCATGGGTTGGGCAGGGTGGCAGCCTGTGGGCCTACTTCTCACCATGGTGCATGGACTTTGCTCTGTCTGGCTGCAGCTGGCACTGGGCAGTGGGGAAGGATGCAACCTCCCACCTGGACAAATTAGACAGCCTGAGCCAAAGAGAGCCCTGCACGTTCCCAGCCTATGGATAGTGAGGAAAGGTGACTGGATTTAATAGCTCTGACTCAGGCCTTCCTCCAGGATCAGCCATGAGGCTCACTCCCTGGACCTCCTCCAGCCCCCGCCATACCCCACCCACACGAGCAGGCCTTCGGAGGCACAGCCCGAGTAGATGTCGAGTGAACGTCAAAGGAAGGATGCAAAATCATTTTCTGTTTGGCAGTGTCCTAATAACTGCAAAATGAACTCAGCCTAATTTGTAGGGACGCCTATCACAATTTTTAAAGAGAACCAAATTCATCCAATTTACAGGAAGTCTACTACACATCTAGTAACTGAAAACATTACTATGTGTAAGTTATGCAACATCTTTAGTCAGCAGCAGGCACGTGTCAGATCCGCTGAACTGAAACAAATCCAAATCCTTATGAACTGAGGTTCCATGTTGCTGTTTAATTAGTACCGGGCAGACATCACTGGTGCCACTGCTTGTAAGAGCAGTGGTCAGGAGAGACTGGGAAGCCCCTGCTCGCTCACCTGCTGGACCTCACTGAGGATGGTGTATGCAGCCTGGATCTGTCTTTTGCTTAGCTTCCCCAAGGGCATCTTCTGAAGGTCGATCTGAGGAGACAGGAAGGTTCCCCTCTCAAAGTTGGCATTCAGGAGCTGACCACAGGCCCCTCAGAGCCCAGCAGAGACTGTTGGGTTTTCCAGGGAGACCTGGTGACCCAGCTCCACAGAGGGTGTGGCCCCTCCCCTGGCCAAGGCTACATTCTCAGTGGATAAGCTAACTGTGTCTTCCGTAAGCCAGCTCTTCCAGAGGACACAGTGCCACTATCAACCAGTTCCAAAAGGGGACAAGGGCCCCTGGCTCTGTCATGGCTCCCATTCCAAGACCCCTCTCTGGGGCAGTACGTGCACCTCTCCCTGGGCTCCAGGCCAGAAACAAGAACGAGAAATTTTTGGGGGGTGGGTGCTGGGAATCGAACATAGGACCTCGTTCTTGCCAGGCAGGTGCAGCACCACTGAGCTATTTCCCCGGCCAAGAACCGAGAATTTTCAAGTGCCTCAAGTTACTTTCAACAGAACATACACCTAAACTTATGTATATTAATCTTCTGAACTGACATTGCCCCTTTGTCCCAATAGTATCAATACTGCTCACAATCCCTGGCAACTACCGTGTGGAGAGGTTACAGGTGGTGAAGGGAAAAAGCACGCAGCAGAGGCCAGGTCACCAGCCAGCTTTGGCTCCTGCTCTAGTGTGGACCACTGTCCCTGAAGGCCCACGGTGTGAAGTCGAGTGGCCAGGGGGTGGTGCTATTATGTGTAGAACCCTAGGGGGCCCATGGAGGGAGGCTGGGTCACTGGGTGGCCTTGAGAAGAATTCTGGGACCTGGACACATTTCTGCTGCCCTGAGCTGACAGCTTTACTCTCCACGACACTGTGACATCACAGGCCCAGAAGCAACAGAGCCACCCGCTATGGGCTGAAACCACAAGCGAAAGAAACCTTTCCTCTTTTACCCAACATCCCAAGGATGGAAGCTGACCGGCAGTTCCCCACTCATAAAGCAGGGCCACCTTCCTGAAGGCCCCCGTTCACCTCTTTGTTGGCTGCTCAACCTCTAACAGACCCTTCTAAGCATGCGTGGAGAGAAGGCACCACACCCTCTCTGCTCTCCCAGCACCTCCATGGTGCCCAGAACGAGACAAGCTCCACAGGAAGCCGGGGAAGGGAGCTGTGAGGATGGCTAACTACAGGGGCACGAAAGTGCACAAGGTGAAGTGGGTAGCAGCCAGGGGCCAGGTGACAGTGCCCAGCAAAGAGCACGTGTGCCTCTCTGGGCCCACCACACCAGAAACCCTTGAAGTCTGAGTTGTGGCACGAGTATGTACACCCTTGGCACCGGGCCTGGCGAGGAGGGGCGAGCTCCTTCAAGCCAAGAACAAGGTACAGAAGAGGAGCAGAGTGACTCCCACGCGGGTTCTCGGTGGGCTCTGGAAGCAGTTCTAGAGAAGGTGCTTCAGACACTTCCATCAGGGGCCACACAACCAGGGCAAGAGCAGATAGCTAGGACGGACGGGGGGCAACAGTTCCTACGCTGCCCAATTCTGCTGACTCTACACAAAATGTGCACACGGGCCACAAGAAAGAGAAAAATGTTCAATCAACACGGCCCCCCAACTCCTGGGTAAAGAAAGAAGGGTACAAGGAGCATTGACCCAACTCCTGGATAAGGAAAGCCAGTATAGCACTGGGCGGTAGGCCAGGGGTGGCAGCTCCCTGGCACCCACTGCAAGGAGAACGGTGTGGAGACGCCTGCAGTCTTGGATGCAGCAGCCACTAGGGCTGTGCTGGAGCAGGCTCCCTGGTTTGCAGCTCCCTCCTCACAGGGAGAGCCCTGATGTCCCTCTGTCTACGTGCCACCTGGACCCCACACAGCCCCCCTCAAGCTACGAGTGTGCGAGCTTTCCACACTGTGTAAGGTTGCCCCCAGCCTGCTGCACAGCACCTCCCTCCTGTCACAAGAAAGACCCCAGGCTGAGACCAGTTAGAAGAGTACAGATGTACAGAAGGCTAGAAACGACACACAGGACTCTCAAACCTGAGAGACAGACCTCTTTTCTTGGCCCCATGTACCATGTTCTTCTGACAAGCTGTTTCGTGAGTGAGACTGCCACATAGAAGTCAGGCTATGTCCATGGGTGCCTGCGGCCTGCAGAGGCCAAAGTTCCAAGCGAAGGACTGGAGCAGTCCCACCAGAGGGTGCTCTCTCTGGGAAGAATGCCTACCAGGTGAAGGAGGAAAAAGCTGCTCTCTGCACCACCTGAGGGTGCTCCAAGGCTGTCCAGTGGCTCCGGGAGGAAGATGCAGGACACAAGTCTAACTGGAACAGCCTTGGGAGTGCAAGGCCAAGGTCAATCCCAGACTCAACTTCTGCACTGGCTCCTGGAAGCTCAGGATACAGGGGAAACCTAAGCAGTTACTGCAGCTGTGCATTTCCCACGGCGGCCCAAAGTCTCTGGGCTCTGTGAGCAGGGAAGTGGGTGGCTGAGGAAAGGGTCCCTTCTGCACGTATTCCCCAGCCAGGACGGAGGCGAAGTACACCACACACAGGGATACACGCCAGGCAGGAGCACCTGCCCACCTTCTCTAATCACAGCTAGGCAAGTCCCACCCACAGAAAACGTGTCAGATGCTGTGCACAGCACGAGCTACAGCAGTGCAAAGGTTTATCCTATCCATCCTCATAGGCCCTTTTGCTAATGGCTGTCACCAGCCTGTGGGGTGTTGGGAGGTGGCAGATCCTCTAGAAGGTGGGGCCTGGAGGGAAGAAGTTAGGTTAATGGGCTGTGCCTTAGAAGAGGACACAGGGACGGCACCCTTTCCTGTCTAATTTGCTTCCTGCCACCAAGAGGTGAGCACTCTTCTTCTACCACATGCTTTCCGTCATGACATACTGTGCTACATGCCCAAGGCCCTCAGGGCCACGTGACTAGACTGAAACTTGAAAGTGTGAACCAAAATTAACATTATCTTCCTGTAACTTGCTCTCCCCCAGCACTGTGTCACAGGGACAGAAAGCTGACACACAGGTTTCTTTCTCTATAGGTGGGGCTAATACTTGGGACTTCACAACTCCAGATGACTGGTTCATGAGGGGTAGATGCCCCTGGCCCATCTGGCCTATCAGGCAACAAGAAGGAAGGGGTGGAGAGCGCTCTCCTGAGCCACCACTTGGCTCACATCAAGTCAAGGGCCTTGGCAGAGGAGCAACACAGCAGGCCTCAGCAGCCCTACGCCCTGAGACTGAAGGTACCAAGAGCTGGCACCACTGTCTCTGGTTTCTGAGAGACAAGGAAATGAACAGCCAGACCCTTCACTGGCACAGCAGCAGTCCCTGGCCTCAGCTAGCACCGACACACGAGTCCATCCGACACGTACCTCGTACTCCACCATGGCTTTTTTCATACTTTCCACGTCGAAGATCATCCTAATGAGCTCCTGCACCGGCTTGGGGAGCTTGGATTTGGTGCCAGGGTTTACTGTCAGCTTCTTCACTGCCTCTTCATCCTTTAGGGAAAAGGGTGAGACCCACGTCAACAGCCCTAGCAAAGGGGTGGAGCTGCGGGGCTGCAGGTGGTCGGGACTGGGATGGGGCATCTAGCAAAAGCAGCCAAGTATCCAACTGCATAACCGTGATTACCTGGCCATAGTCGATCTCCAGAGGGTAGAACTTTTTGGGATACTTTGTAAAGTTTTTGGAGTGCCAGGCATTCCCAGTCTTTTCTTCATATAATTTCATGAAGTGCTCAATTGCATCCTCTTTGGATGGCATCTGCTCCAGTTTGTTGCTACCAATCACAGTGCCCACACGGCCCCAGGACCTGAATATCCAGTACCTACACAAGTAGAGTAGGCATCAGAGATTGACAGCTTCCCTCCCCATCATCCCATCCAGGGAGAAGAGTTACTTTTTATGGTACTGAGGACTGAACCTAAGGAGTCCTGGGCTACATTCCCAACCTCTTGTTTACTTTTCAGATGAGGTCTCCGTAAGTTGCTAAGTTGCCCAAACTGGGCCCCAACTTTTCATCCTCCTACCTCAGCCCCCTGGTACCTGTGTGACACTGCCTGATAGGCCAGTGCTCTACCACTGAACCACACCCGAGTGCTAAGGGAGAACTTAGTAGTGGAGTAATAAGGGAATTTGACAGGTGGCAGCACTAGTGGTGGCCAGTGGCCTTCTCCCTTCTTTTCTGGGAGATCTCATCATTCTAGTTATCTGTGATTAGGGCCCAGGCCCCAGGTCCTACAGGCCTTCTATTTCATGAGCTGAGGCAGAGGTTCCCTGGGCCTGGAGCTCACCTGCTTTCCTTGTCGTCCTCCAGAAGCTGCAGCTTATAGTAGGAGTTGGTCCCTTTGATAATGTCCACCAGGCCGAGGGTCGCGCTGAAGACCTTCCCACCCTTCTCCAGGACATGTGCTGAGTGTTCCAGACCTGGAGGGGCAAAGTTGCTGTCCTCCACCCAGGGCACTGTGTCTCAGCAGAGGGCCTATCACCTGGAGCCCTGGCTGGCCACACGCCTCCCCCCAGGGCTTCCTGCAGCACATGATGCCTTAGCAGCAGGTGAGCGTGCCTGCGCCTACCCGCTTACCAGAGTCAGGATCCACAGCTGCTCCTCCTTTAAGAGTTAACTTCATTCTCTTTTCAGACTTGATACCTAGAAGGGGCCAGAGAAATGCAAACACGAAAGAGTCCGCTGAGACGCATCCAGGCACGGGCTCCTACCGCCCCTAAGACCTGTGGCTCAGTGCCCTCTCGGCCTGGAGATGGGACAAGGCAGCATTCAACAGTTTTGGGGACAGAGGGGCAAGACCAGCAGCATGGGCCCTCACCTTCCTCCTTGGGGGCGCCCTTGCTCTTCTTGGGGAGCACAGTCCCTGACTTCCCCTTTGGGGCCTCGACTTCCACAGGCTCTGCCTTCACCTCTGCCCCCCAAGGGGACAAGATGTGCTCCGAGAACAGCTCCTGCAGGGCCCTGGTTGCAGTGGAGACATCCTGGAGGAAATCCTCAGACACAACACGGACGTTGGCTTCCTTTACTTCTTCCATCTTCTTACTCATCTTTTCTACCTCCTCTGTTCAAATATGCAGTGAAAAAGAAAACAGCCGTGAGCCAGAGACTAAACCCCATCTCTAACTACCAGAGTTGCGCTCCGCTGAGTGTTTTCACTCTCTTCACTCACAGCTTTTCTTCCTTTCCAAACCTAATCTCAGAGCACTCTTCATCCCAACAGTGGTGTCTTATCAGCAACAACCTTCTCTGCAGGAGGAGACCCCGCAGCCCAGTGTGAGTGGGAGGGAAGTATTGCCCTGTTTCTCATCGGCTTGGCTCATCACACCTACAACTACAAAGATGGACGAGGCGGAGTTCTGAGGCACAGTGCTGACCCAAGCACCTGAGACCCCGTGTAGACCCCCAGCACTGGAAAACACAACCACAGCCAAAAAAACCCATGAAGAAATCCATTTACCTCTGCATTTTCCAAACCTAAAGCCTAGAACTTTTGTTTGGGCAGGGAACCTATTACAGCAGCTTGCAACCTTTGATTAGGAATGTAAGACAGACAAATATATGGTATATACTGAGCAGCAACACAAAATGAAAACACTCATTTCCCATAAAAAGAAAAACCCTGGGCAGCTAGCATGGTGGTGCACATCTGTAACCCCAGCATTCTGAAAGGCTGAGGCAGGAAGACTGAAAAGCTTGAGCCCAGTGTGGGGAACTTAGTGAGACACTGTCTCACAAATAACAACAAAAAAGGGTGGAGGATGTAGCTCAGTGTGAAGGCCTGGGTTCAACCCCCAGTACTGCCAAAAAGAAACAAAAACATGCCTGAGCAATGATGATGAGTTGAGAGGATTTCTCGGTTATGATCCGTGTCACACCCTTCCCTCACTGAAGCACAGCACACCTGCCACACACACTCCCCACCTCAGCTGCAGCCCAGACCACGGTTCCTCTCCACTCACTCTTGGTGCTGATGCACAGGGAGGCCTTGTTGGCTGACCCCGTCAGCTTGCCCCCGAGCTTCTCGACTTTAGCCTTCATTTCATCTTTGTTACAAGAGAGTTTCCCAAGCAGCAGGATCTTCATGTTGGACAGGGGCTTATCTGGAATGGGGGAGCATAACTGTCACACTGGCCTGCTCAGGTTCTGTGCCTCAGGGAGCAGGAAGGAACAGGGAAACCAAGCAGGGAGCACCCAAGGTGGAGCCAGGGAGGCTGCAGGGCCTGTGGTTGGCCTCTACTCCTGCCATGGTGTTCTCCAGGAAGAGCCTATGAAACAGAAGCAGAAGGCCAGCAGGACAGCAAGCTGGCTCCTGAGAAGTCACGCATACTCCACGCTGTAGACAGGCCTGGGCAGGGGACGAACCCTGAGACAATTTAACCCAGGGCAGCTCCATGGACAGACAAGGGTTCCTCGGGATCAGGGACCAGCAAGCTGGAGGGGAATGGACAGAGCAGGCTGCACAAGTGCCCACTCTCTTCTATTTTTCTCCACTGTCTACCCCTTGTCTAAAAATCAAACTGTAACTCTCATTCAGACAAAGGAGTGTGGGTCCACCTGGACCACAGCTCACACTGTTGGACTGAGGCTTCAGGGAGCAGAGCAGCCCTGGGGTGATCCCCATCAGGCACAGGAGGGTCACCAATAGGCTCCTATTCAGGAACAGGACCTTGTTCTCCCCCCAACCAGTTGTAGCTTCAACCTCAGACAGTGTGCCACACTCTGAGTAATACTGCCTCAGCAGCAGTTGCCGGTGACCTTCTGACTCTACAGGACAGACACCCTATCACACAGCAGGCTCTGGGGAACTGAGAGTTAAGGGCAAAAAACGGCCTGGGCTGAGGCCTCCGGGCACAGAAGCCTACTCAGCCTTTCTCAGGAAGCCTCCCCCAGCCCTCCAGGGTAAGGAAGTCACCTGCTCTTCCCAGAGGGCTATGCTGTCCTTGCTTAAGATGGGGCTCAGGGTCCCACTGTATCACTGTCCAACCCCTTAATAAGCACTCTTTCTGCCTCAACCTCCTCCGCAGCTGGACCTATTGCAACAACCACGCCCAACAGTATTTACGTTAACACAACACAAACTGCCCTACACTGAAGGGGGCTAGCCCAGGGCAGGGAGGGCTTCCTCAGAGCAGAGGCTACAGGACACCCTCACCCCAACTCCACACCCCTAGTCCCTCTGAGCAGCTCTGGACACAACCCTGGTGCTGTACCTGCTGTGGCAGAGGAGCTCACAGCAGCTGGCTTCAAGGATGAGGAGGCTGGGGGCGCCATGGCCACAGGGGCGCTGGCCTCGGGGGGGAAGATCCGGTCTTGCTTTTTGACCTTCAATTTCTTCAGGTAAGAGATTTCTCGGAATTCCTAAAAGATACACATTTTACTCTTTAAGAAACCAGTTATGTCTTGAAGCAACCACCAGAGAGGCTGGAGAGGATCTGACCTGTGCACATTAAATAATCTCGCAATAAAGAACATAAAATGGGGAAGTGCATGGCCTACATTATGATAATATTCTGTTGCTGCAGTACATACTTCTAGTACTATGAGAGACCTAGCATTGCGATGCAGTCAGAGAAAGGTCTTTTCCTCCAGACAAACTAAGACCAGACCCAACCCAACTCTTAACTAACCCAAAAGACTCCACACTGCCACTTCCACCCTGGCCCTTCTCCAGCAGCTGCTGTGCAGAGTGCACAGCCTCTGGGTCACACGCCCACTGTGACAGTGACAGCCCCAGCACAGCACCCACTAGGTGAGCCCCTCAAAAGGAAATCAGGGTGTGCCCCAGAGGAGGCCCAGAGAGCCCTGCATTGTTTGGTAGGAACCTGTCATTGCCGCAGCTCACTGTTCGTGCCAGTTATTTGAAGCCTTGCTCTAGGTCCTGGGGTGAGCACAGTTCCTGTGCACCTGTATCTCCATCCAATCAGAAAATAGCCCCTGTGGTCAGTGCACTCCAGCTGAAGTGACAGATGGCATCCTATGAACACTGAGAACCTAATAAATGCCACTCACTACAGAAAAGAAAAAGTTCTACCTATTGAGAAAGTAGAGGTATGCAAAGGTAAACTCTAACAAAGCATCACATTAGCTTTCTCTTTGCAGTCCTGGGGATGGAATCTAGGGCCTGTGCATGCTAAGGTGCACACCCCACACTGAGCTCTACCCAGAGCCTGCAGCTGTCTTAGGCAGAGCCAAGGCAGGGGGACTGGGAAGACGGCCTGTGTAGGCAGCAAGCGGCTCAATCTGCCAGGAGCTGAAAAAGCAAAAGGCGGCCAAGGCAGAAGCCAGTAACACAGGGTGACGGAGGGGAAGTGAGAGGCTGTGTGCAGGGTGGGGAAATGGGTGGGTGGAGGCCCACAGGCCACACATGAGGGCTCCGGGCCACAAGAGGGATCAGGCCTCAGTTCTGATGCACAAACACTAGGGGTAACAGTGACCGATCCCCCAAATCCACCAGAGTAACAGCGGCTGCCAGACTGCAAAACAGCTGCCACATGCAGGTCCTCTTTAAAAACATAGGTAGATGCTCTACAGTTGGTATGTTAAAATATAAAATACTGTTGTACTTATTGTTAGTGCACCAATTTCTCCATCAAAGGCTGCTTGAGAATGCCAGAACTACAAAAAGGTCTATAAAACTCATGTATCAGAAAGACTGGGAAAGCTGACTATCACTGCAACACTCTTGGCTGGTTTGTTTTCTGTTTTTCCCTTAAATGTTCACTGTAAGGACGGGGAAGTGTCAGCTGTAGGTGTTTTAAGAGAGCATCTAGGTAAGAGCACAGTGGGAAGACAGGAGGGAGTAGAGTCAGTTATGGCAGTGAGCAAAGACAGCAGACAGTGGACAGTGGACAAATGCAGGTGGACAACTGGCATGCAGCTCAGCGGGAAAGCACTCGCCTAGTGCACCGAAAGCCCTGGATTCCACCCCAGCACCACCAAGAAACAAACAAAAATAAAAAGGCCAAGTTCAGTTCCACAAGTGAGCAAGCGGTACTTAAATGAGAATCCCTGAGCGCTCCCCATATCTCCCGCTGCTCTACTGCTCCATAACCTGAGTGGACTTCTGAGCCTGCCCAGGCACCAGGCCTGCTCTGCCTGTTGCACCCACATGAGGTCCTGTCAATGCCAAGCACCCAAAGAGACCACCAGATCCCCACCAGTGCAGCTCCAAAGCAGGCTCCCAACGGAGGCCTTCTGTATCCCAAGGGCTCAATACAAAGTTCTATTTCTTTTTTTTTTTGAGACAAGGTCTCACTGTGTATTCCAGGCTGGCCCGAAACTCATGGTGATCCTCCCGCCTCAGCCTCTTAAGTGCTGGGATTACAGGTGTGCACCACCATGCCTGGACCAAAGTTCCATTCTCAGAGCATTCACTGTGAAAGATGTGAACCTGAGACCCCCCAGCTCTCCCTCTAGCACTAGGGTGAGAATATACCCTGAGACACTCAAATCACAGAGGCAGAAGTCACACCCCTTTATTTGCATGATGTCCCTTGTGCCTAGTCACACACGGCATGCAGCAATCAGTAAATGGAAATAAAAATAATTCATGCTCTTGCATTCAGGTGCTCTGCAAACTCCTGGAACCAGTACTAACATCGTAACACAGCACTGCTCTCTTGGTGACCTGCTGTGTGGACCAGCCCGGTGAGTGGGCCACACTGTAACAGGTCCCAGGGCGCTTCCCAATGCCTTACCTTTGGGGTCACCCACTCCTTTCGACGAGGTGTCTGTGTCTTAACCATGCACTTGGTCCAGGCAGTGACATCCCCAGTGCAGTAGTAAGCATCGCTCCTGAAGACCAGCTGGCCCGAGCACTCCTCACAGGGGAGGAGCGCCCCGAATGCCACACCGTCAGCCACTCGGTCCAAGATCTGAAGCAGTGAGAAAACTTGTCAGAGAGGAAAGGTGGACTCTAGAAATGAACCCTCACTAACTGCAGCGAAGACCTAACTCACACCCCACTCACAGGAGACAGCCCCAGGGCTGCCAGGCCTGCAGAGGGGACAGTGAGAGCGCCCCCGCTTCCACCCGGCAAAGCAGCACAGCTGTCCTCGGTGCTCCCAGCCCGCCTTGCCTGTGCTGTGCTCTGGTGTCATGCTGAGCACCTTCCTTGGTGCAACACCTGGCACGAGCACATGAGGCAAAAATACTCGCTTGCCTGCCTTCGCCCTCCACAGACTGCGGACAGGTGGAGATGTCTGCTGGGCTTCCGAGAGCCCACCCCACTGGGGCTGGAAAGTAGTGACCACAATGCCCCCGGGACACAGATGGTGCCCTTTGCAGTTAGTGCCAGCAGGTGTTCAAAAGAAGGCCTCCCACATGCTCTCAGGGCAGCCACTCCACAGCCACTGGCCCAGGCTCACAAGCACGTCCCACCGAACACAAAGCAGCTCACCGCAGATTCACCGGATGGCACCTGCTGCTTATTGAAGATGAGCAGCTCTTTCAGGTCATTTGTTGAACATGCTTTCTTTAGCTCATCCTTGATATTCCAGATTAGGTCATTCTGGGCCTGTGGATGAGGACCAGCAGCAGCAGCAGCTGAGAGACAGAAATCCACTGCAGAAGTCTGTCTCTAGCTTCCAGCCACCTCTGTAAAGTTCAGCTGGGCGGCCTTTTACTCCCAGTCAGGATTTCATTCCAGTCATGCTCCTGGGGAATTCAAACCTGTGGTCTCAAGAGAACACTCCAGAAGATGAAGAGGATGGCACTGAGAGAGGTGTGGGCTTCCTCACAGGCCCTGGAAACAAGCCCTCAGACACCAACTCAGGAGACACAGGGAGGGCTTGGAAATGCTGGCCTGGGCTCTGGACCCACAAGAATCCTGCTAATATCCAGCATTTCAAGGAGGTCAGCTATGGCAGTTCCCTACCAGTCTTAAGGATGATTCCTGAACACCAATGTCCTTAACAGTACAAGCTTGGTGCCACACACGAGTATAAGCTCTTTGGGAGACAAACCTCATAATCATTTGCTGAGGAAAACCTTAGCCTCTTCGTGATGGAGCTGAGGAAACACTGTGCCAACTCGTCTGCACAGTGCAGCGGGGCGTATAAGCCACACCACGCCCTGCAGGGCTACTGTAAACACCCAACCGAGGCAGGGCTGTTGCCACACACCTGCACTGCTCCCTGCTTCCCATGTTCAAGGGCTCCCTGAGCAACGAGCCCGCCTCCCTCTCTGCGCAAGTCCACATGCTAGGATACCAGTGATGGAGACAAGGTAGTGTCCAGAAAAAGTAGTTTAACGGTACAAGGGTCAACGAAAGTAGAACTGTTTTACCTCCATAATGGACCAAGGATAGGCCTGCAGGAAGAGAGGCCCCAGGGTGGGGAAGCCACGGGAGCAATTTAATTTTCTGCTTTTCTTTACATCTCTGGAACTCTGGAGGTGGGGACACCACCAGACTCACTGAGTGCAGGTGCAAGACGACACTGCAGTTCTGGGGCAGCCACATTTAGCACAGAATAGACACCTTTTTTTTTTTTAAACCAAAAGATCTTACTAAACTTCATAAGCAACTGAAAACAGGTCATAAATTGTTTCTAATTTTCATACATCAGAAAAACCTAAACATTCACACATGAGACCTAAGCAGAAGGCTCACGGACACCACATACCCAAAAAGAGACCCACAGCCTCCCCGCCCTGCCACATACCCAGCACCTCCTGTTAACAGGGTTTCTGTGCTTCAGCACACACGTGACAAAGAGGGACAGATCTCTGTCAAGGACCACTGACTTGTCTGGTACTTTTCTTTTACCACATGCCTTCCCTACTCCAAAGATCTTCATTTTAAACAAATGTGCAAAAAACTTTCTCTCTCTCCAAAACCATTAATCTTTCTATGCGAAGAACCTTAGGAATCTCTGAGTTTAGTATTCACTTTCCAATGTTCACAAGTGACCTCAGTGGGCAAGATGTCCAGCAAAGCCTGGCTGGGCCAAAGCACAAGTCTGTGTTGCCCTAATGAGGCTTATGAGTGGGGACAGGGTGCTCAGCCCCTGCTTGAGCCCAGCAGCAGGGCTGCATTTGCAGCCTAATGTGAGTTCTCTTCCAAAGAAAATGAATTACAGGAAATGCCATGCTACTAATGATAAATATCAATCTGGAAATTTCTAAAGGTCCTAGTAAGTGGAACAAACCTCCCTGAATTCACCTCTCAGAATGAGGAACTGAGATAGAACAATGAAAGGACACCCAGAGCTCAGCACTCACCCTGAGGGCCTTTTCCAGCTTACTGTCCTTGTCCTTTTCTTTCTTAGATTTCTTCTTGGTCACTTCATCTGTCCCATCCACTTCATCGACTTTCCTCTTTCTGAAAGAGACGGGATGACTGAAACTCTGGCATCCCATGACCCTTTTACCTCCATGGAGAGAATCCTGTGCATACTTGCTCCCCACCCTCCCAGCACCTTGTAGTGCTCTTAGGAACCTGCTGTCTCTCAGGTGCTCTCTGAAACCAACAGGCAGGAGGAGATGGCCGGGGTGGCTCCAGGGCCCTGACCAACTCAGCGCAGACCCTGGGCCCAAAGCCTGTCTCCCTCTGGGCACACACAAAAGGGACAAGGCTCTAGGTGGGGCTCTGCTGGAGGAGAGACCACAACCGAGGGGTAGACCTGCAGACAGACACCATGCTGGGGCTGAACCTGTGGGCCACTCCCCAGCCAGGGGCTATTCTCAGAGCTAAGCCCTGATGGCCCTGAGAGCCCACACTCAGATGGCAAAGCCCCACTCTCTGGTCTGCTTCAGCTACCCCAGACCCAAGCCCAAACCCTTGTACTTCTTGTCTTCCACACAGGGGAAAGACTGTCTTTTACCTCACAGGGCTTGGGGACAATCAGTGAAACAGCTCTAGGGTGACACTCTACTTGGTGCCTGGCAAATTAAAGCCACCACAGCATGCACACAGCTGCTGAGTTCCTACACCCATCAAGTGCAATCATGCCTGAAGACATTCTCACCCACAGTGGAGTCATACAAGTTTCACAGTGGTTAGTGTGTTATGGACATAGCAGTGGCCGTTTGAAGGCAACGGCCCAGCTGCTGTCCAAGGAATACCCTCGGTGTGCTCACCAACTAGCCATTCTCTTCCAGGGCTGAGACCACTTGAAGGTCAACAGAAAAGAGACCCCAGACAATCACAGTTCTTCCCAACCTGTGAAACCAGTACTCCTCCACTCCAAGCCAAGGAGCTCACTGCCTGCCGCCTAGTCCCCTCTATAATGGTCACAATTCCCTCAGCAACACTCAGAGACACAGATGTGTCTACAGGGCTGCTGAGGGGACATGAGTGCAGCCAGCGAGGGGCTGGAGGACACGGAGCAGTTAACCTGGGTAAGGGGCATGGTGGTTTTTAAACATCTGGAGGGCTGCATGAGAATGGGCCTCGCCTGATCTACCTGACTACAAAGACTAGGCCCCGGGGCAGTGCTCACAGCCTGGGTATGGATGGAGTTGTGGCAAAGGACATCTCTGAGAGCTCCTTGTAGCCCACCCCCATGTCTGCATGTCCCTGGCTGTCTTGACAGTCAGCAAATGCAATAAGGGGGCACAGAATCTGTAGGGCCTTCTGGCCTCCTGTGGGGCCCTCACCCAACAACAGCATTCACCCACCCTTCACTCTTGACCCCTGGGAGCTGTTTCTTCAGGGCTTCTTTATCCTCTTCGGCGAGGAGGCTGAAGCCTTTGAGCTGGCTGGCACTGTACTCAGGCCGGAAGCCCAGCTCTTCCCTGTTCTTGACAAAGCAGTCTGGATGGTACCAGCGGTCGATCATGCCTAGCTGTGGCTTCTCTGGGTCTAGCATCTTCTTGGATAGGCGCATCTGGCCCTGTGGGAAAAGACCGTATGTGGAACTGCGAGGCCACATCAAGGCCTGGCGGGTAACTTGACAGCTACTGTGTTCTGGCTGTCTTACATCACCAAGGGCTGTGTGCTAACTCCAAGCCTCTGTACCTGTGCTTTAAATGGGGCTAATCCTGAAAGGCCGGATGCACACGTACACGTCGCATGTGGGAGGGACGTTTCCCTGTGCCCACAGACCAGGGCAGGCCTGAGAACATACGGTGTGTGTGCAGACTGAGCCAAGGCCCCAGCCTGCTCAGGGTTACATGCTGAGGCCTGGCGTTCCTGGGAGGTGCACACTGATGAGGCACAGACACACAGAAGTCAGTATATGTACAGCTGCTTCCAGCCAAGCAAAGCCCAACAGCATGCAAGGCCTGGCATCCCCTGAAGGGAAGAGGACCTTGACTACCGCCTTCAGTGTCTGGTGCCTGAAGGGAGCTAGAGGAGATTTGGCCATTCCACTTCCCCAACTGCCCGCATGCTGAGTTACAGACCTGGAGTGGCCCCCAAGGCCCAGGTGGTAAAGGCCTGGGCACCAGCCTGTGGGGTGATGGGGAAGAAGAGCTTAGTGGAAGTTTGGTCCCTGAGGCATGCCCTTGAAAGGACACCCAGCCCCCTTCCTGCCTGTACCTCTTGGCTGCCATGAAGTAAATGGTGTCCCTCCCCTATTACTTGCTCTTGTCGTAGTGTACGTAGTGTACAAGAGCATAGTGACACTGTGGTCAGTGTGCACTGTATGGAGACCCAAAAACTGCTGACTGCAACTTCTGAAAACATGAATTTCAAAGCAAATCTCTCTTCCTTTAAAAATGATTATCTTGGGTGTTTTGCCACAATAATGGAAAACACGCCCTCACACCATACAATAACTTGTATAACCAGTGCCTTAAAAGGGTTAGTAAGTCTGGTGCAGAACATCAGAGGGGAGGGATGCTGGAGGGCACTGGCTTTCCTTCTTGCTCCTGTTCCCAGTCACCCACTCCACGAAACTGGCTGGCTAATGAAGTTCCTAATTAAACAGAAGAAAGATGGAAGCTCATCCCGGGGAAATTACCCTTTAAATATAGTTATACCATAAATAAGACAAACAGCTTCTCCTCCACCCCTGCTGAGTCCAGGGGAGGCTTCCTGTTTGCTTTATAAGCTCTCCAGGTATGGAGCCAGGCACCAGGAATAGACCTGTCTGAAGCAAATCACTTTCACCTCCCGTCTCCACTAGGATCTCTGCTGTGTTTTCAGACGTCAGTGCTGAGTTGGCCCCGAAGCTTGTTCCTTCTCCCCTCAGATGGCCAGTGCCACCCACGGCCAGAATCCCAACGGCCCCGCACCTGGGCCCTGGCGCTCACCTTCTCGATCTTCTCCATGCACCCCTTGCACGTGCTTCTGTTAGACTTGGCGTACTCTGCAGCAAAGTCACCCAGCGTCTTCTCTGCCTTGCTGCCGATTCCATCCTGGCCTTTGCCTGAAAACTCAAACAGACAGCTCTTCACGCTCACGCTCACAAGATGTCCTGTCCTCCTCCTACCTAGGACCCTCCTATGGGGCACCTTTGTGTTTTAGGCAACCACAACTGGTCCACCTCATCTTTATAACCATGGTTGCTCAATAAATTCCTTTTCTGTTAATATAGTGACCTTTCTTTCTTCTTCTCAGCACCCAAGGCCACATACACGCTGGGCAAGTGTTGTACCATCTGAGCCACATCCACAGGCTGAAAGTGTTCCAAGACAAGTCCCCTCAGTGGACACTGTGGTCAGCTGCCCGACTCTCCACTACTTTCCACTGCCTCTGAAGCCCCTTCTTACACTTTGCAAAGTACTTGTTTTTCCCACAAAAGCCTAGGAACATGCTAGATTCTAAGTCAGTCTTCTAGTTTCCACTGGGCTTTCATTTATAAAACACTGAACTAAAGGGAGTATCTCAATACAGATTCAACCAAATATATATAAGAATTAAATATGAGGTAAAGATGCCATTTTCAATGAGTGGGGAATGATCCAGTAAAGGGCTTTTGGAGTAACTAGTACACCATGCAGGACAGCAGCTAAGTTCTTTTCTTATATAAACATAAGTTTCAAGAGAGAAGAAAAAAAAAAGATCTAAGGCTGAATGTTTGTCTCCTAAGGCCAGGAACAGACAAGGCTGTTGTCTTTTACTATTTCTATTTAACAACAGAAATAGTACAGGGTCCAGTACAATAAGGCAAGATAAACAGTTTAAGTTTAGGAAAAAAAAAACAAACCAAACAAGCACAGCTGTCTCTGTAGGTGGCATGACTGTACTTGTGGCATAGCCTTAGGAATCTACAAAGAAGCTCCAAGGACCAAAATAAATATAGCAAATTTGCACAGCACAAAATTAATACATAAGTATACATTTTCATATACTAGAAATAAAGACTAGAAGAAATTAAAGTACATGGCTTCTTAAATATATAAAATACTTAAGAGATACATTTTAGCAATGATCTCTATACTGAAAGTTGAAATCTGACCCAGAGATTCAATGTAATGATGAATTCCTAGCAGGTTTTTTAGGGGGGAAGAAATTGATAGGCTTAGTACGAAGTGGAACTGCAAAGACAATACTGAACACACTACATGGTTTTGTGATACACTACAAAGTTATAGTAATCAAGACCCTGTGGTATTGGTAGAGAAATCAACGGAACCAAGCAGATTCCAGACATAAGCCTCATTATGCAGTGAACTGGTGCTGACAAAGAAGCCAAAGCTCCTCTACCAGAGAAGGGACCTTTCCAATGAGTGGTAATGGAACAGGCCACCCACAGGCAAAAACACTCAGACTAGCTCTCTTCACACCCAGCAAAAAAGTCAACACTGACTGCAAACATAAACACAGAAGTGAAGACCACAAAACTTCTACAAGAAAACAAAGGAGGGCTGGGGACATAACTCAGTAGCATAGTGCCTGCTTGGCAAGTACAAGGTCCTGAGCTTGATTCCTGGGACCAAAAACAAGAAACAAAAAACAAAAAACCAGAAAGTAAATAACAGAGCATATATATTTCATCCCAAAGCAGGTAAAAATTTTTAGGAGACAGTGAGTACTAACCAAAGAAGAAGGGGGGGGAATCCACAAATTAAGACTTCAAATTAAAAATTACTGCTCTTCAAAATGAAGAGCTACGTCCCGCGCCTTCCATCCGCGGCCATCGCTGGCTTTGGTAGCTCATCAGGCCCCCAGCAGCCAGAAAACCAAAGAAACCTGTCAGCAAGTCTTGGCTGATGCAGGAGGTAAACTGGTGGTAGCTGATTTCTCAGGCACGTGGCATGGGCCTTGCAAAATGATCAAGCCTTTCTTTCATTCCCTGTCTGAAAAATATTCCAACATGCTGTTCCTTGAAGTGGATGTGAGTAACTGTCAGGATGTCGCTGCCAAGGTGAAGTCAAATGCATGCTGACCTTCCAGTTTTTTAAAAAGGGTGAGAAGGTGAGTGAGTTTTCTGGTGCTAATACGAGAAAGCTTGAAGCCACCATTAATGAATTAATCTAATTGTGTTTTCTGAAGAACGTAACCTGCTATCAGCTGTTTAAAGTTTTTAATTTTTTTATTTACAAAAAAATATGAAGTATGGAAACTATATACCCAACTGCCATCTGATTATCAATGACAATAAAATATTAATTCTACCCTTTTTTTTTTTTTTTTTTTTTTTTTTTTGGTTTTTCTCCGG